ACACACTGAAACACAGTGGCATCACCAACACACTGAAACACAGTGGCATCACCAACATTATTTTCTAATCGTCTCCACCTTCGTCAGCGCATTATGATCCGTTCTACTGTAGCTCTTCCTTTTAAATATAATAATAAATTTCAACCTTTATAAAAATATTCATGACTGTGATGAATGTGGGGGTCATTGGGCCGCCAGCAGCAACAGCCTGGTTGATCAGGAAAGCACAAGACAAACCCGGCCCTGCGTGAGTAGGAAATCTCTCGGAATCCATGGAAAGTATATCAAATGCAACCAGTTTGTACCTCCAGTTTGTGACCAGTTTGTACCTCCAGTTTGTAACCTCCAGTTTGTACCTCCAGTTTGTAACCAGTTTGTACCTCCAGTTTGTAACCTCCAGTTTGTAACCAGTTTGTACCTCCAGTTTTTAACCAGTTTGTACCTCCAGTTTGTACGTCCAGTTTGTAACCTCCAGTTTGTAACCTCCAGTTTGTAACCTCCAGTTTATAACCTCCAGTTTGGGACCCCCGTTTGTACCTCCAGTTTGTACCTCCAGTTTGTACCTAGTTTGTACCTCCAGTTGTACCTCCAGTTTGTAACCTCCAGTTTTTACCTCCAGTTTGTAACCTCCAGTTTGTACCTCCAGTTTGTACCTCCAGTTTGTACCTCCAGTTTGTACCTCCAGTTTGTACCTCCAGTTTGTAACCTCCCGTTTGTACTCCAGTTGTACCTCCAGTTTGTACCTCCAGTTTTACCTCCAGTTTTTTTACCTCCAGTTTGTACCTCCAGTTTGTACCTCCAGTTTGTACCTCCATTTGTACCTCCAGTTTGTACCTCCAGTTTGTAACCCCCAGTTTGTAACCCCCAAGTTTGTACCTCCAGTTTGTACCTCCTGTTTGTTTCCTCCAGTTTGTTTCCCCCAGTTTGTAACCTCCAGTTTGTACCTCCAGTTTGTACCTCCAGTTTGTACCTCCAGTTTGTACCTCCAGTTTGTACCTCCAGTTTGTACCTCCAGTTTGTACCTCCAGTTTGTAACCTCCAGTTTGTACCTCCAGTTTGTAACCTCCAGTTTGTACCTCCAGTTTGTACCTCCAGTTTGTACCTCCAGTTTGTACCTCCAGTTTGTAACCTCCAGTTTGTAACCTCCAGTTTGTACCTCCAGTTTGTACCTCCAGTTTGTACCTCCAGTTTGTACCTCCAGTTTGTACCTCCAGTTTGTACCTCCAGTTTGTAACCTCCAGTTTGTAACCTCCAGTTTGTACCTCCAGTTTGTACCTCCAGTTTGTACCTCCAGTTTGTACCTCCAGTTTGTACCTCCAGTTTGTACCTCCAGTTTGTACCTCCAGTTTGTAACCTCCAGTTTTGTAACCTCCAGTTTGTAACCTCCAGTTTGTACCCCCGTTTGTAACCTCCCGTTTGTACCTCCAGTTTGTACCCCCAGTTTGTACCTCCAGTTTGTACCTCCGTTTGTATCTCCAGTTGTACCTCCAGTTTGTAACCTCCAGTTTGTAACCCTCAGTTTGTCCTCCAGTTTTGTACCTCCAGTTTGTACCTCCATTTGTACCTCCAGTTGTACCTCCAGTTTGTACCTCCAGTTTGTACCTCCAGTTTGTACCTCCAGTTTGTAACCTCCAGTTTGTAACCTCCAGTTTGTACCTCCAGTTTGTACCTCCAGTTTGTACCTCCAGTTTGTACCTCCAGTTTGTACCTCCCTGCCACCATCTCTCACCCCACACTGTCCTTCCTCCTCTCCACCCTTTCCTTTTTGAGTTCCGAGTTTTTCTACTCCCGGAGCCCGGCCATGGGCCAGGCTCGTCTAGTCCTCACCTGGTCAACCAGGCTGTTGCTGCTGGTGGCTCACTGACCCACATATCCATCACAGTCTGGTGTATATGTATAACCTTTTGAGATTTAATTATTTAATAATAAAGACTAATAATTTTAGAAACTCGCAAAAGTTTGTTGTCTAACTATCTTTTGATGGTTGTGGCGGTCATCGCCTCTGCAGCCCGATCCCGTCCCACCCCTCCTGGTGAACAACCTGATCAGTTACACTATTGGTGCTAGCATCACGCAGTTTAACGTAAGCACCACAGCTTATCAAGGTCTGTTTGTTGACCGACGTCTAGTTGTCGATTTCTGGAGTTATTTTCTACGTGGCCTGGTCCAACATAGGCCTCCTTGAATTGGAAGGGATTGTTTGTAAAAGCTGTTTTCCACCTGTTCTTGTAAATAATAATCTCATTTTTTCTGACGCAGTTTTACGATGAAGTAGAGTTGATGCTTATTCCTAAGTACACGTTGTAAAGCTTATGTTTTCTTAATATACAAAAAACTGAGAGAGCCTGTGAAACCAACAGTTTCAGCAGTTAAAAATATTTAAAAAGGGGGATTAATTAGATTGGGAAGCGGAGGTACTGAGAACAGAAGGAATATTTTTAGAGTTGTTAAATGTTGACGAAGAAAGAGAAGCAAGTGCGTTATGTTGACGAAGAAAGAGAAGCAAGTGCGTTATGTTGACGAAGAAAGAGAAGCAAGTGCGTTATGTTGACGAAGAAAGAGAAGCAAGTGCGTTATGTTGACGAAGAAAGAGAAGCAAGTGCGTTATGTTGACGAAGAAAGAGAAGCAAGTGCGTTTTGTTTGTGATCCGTCGTGTTGTTGGAATGTGAGCAAGGTACATTTATGAAGGGATTTAGGGAAGCCGATTAGCCGGACTATCTTCCTGGAGGTGGGAAGTACAGTGTCTATACTGAAGGAAAGGTGGGTCGGGCCATCTGAATTCTGATGTCAGCATGATAATGATGGAAGATAGTGATGGAATGGATGGCAGTGAAGGTGTTTTTCCTTTCTGGGGTCACCCTTCATCAGTGAGAGAAGGTCAGTGGATTAAAAAAAATCGTTGTGTGGGGGGAGTATATATATGAGAGAGAGGCTGTTAGCCTTAACAGAGGCTGTTGGTGCTAACAGCACGCAGTCCAGTAGAAACACCATAGGCTGTCTGATCAGAATTATTATAATATAATATTTATGGGGAGGCGCTAAACCAAAAGAGGCCATACACTGCTTGGGCAATGAGAATTAATCAGGTTCAATCCAAGGAGAGGGGAACAAATCATATTCCTTGGATCAAGAGCCTCTTGCCGGCATCAAAGAACCTTGTGGGTCTGAACAAACTGTCCAGTGGAACCCGTTAAGTTCACTGTTGACGACAGTCTGTTTATAATGACTCCTAACATGTGGTGAGTGGCACTACTAGGATAACAGTACCAGCAGCTGAGTTTCTAGACTCAATGGCATATTTCCAAGGAGTATAATACTCCACAACAAAGATGGAGAGAATGAGGATGAGAGAATGACTGAGATAGGATACGTAGCTGTAGGTGATACGTTAGGCTGGGTGTGTTGGGTCTCTTGACTTGTGGCCTACAATTAGCAACAGCCTGATAAGTGGAAATGTGCTGGTACTGTACTCTGTTGGCCAGAAGCAGCAACAGTCTGGTAAGTCTGAGTATGATAATCGTAGAAATACCGACAAAAAATGTTAGGTAAATGGACACAGATGCAACTAATATGACATTTTATTGTGGCAACGTTTCACTCTCCAGGAGCTTTCTCAAGCCGGACAAAGCTCCTGGAGAGCGAAACGTTGCCACAAGAAAATGTCATATTAGTTTCACCTGTGTCCATTTACCTAACAAGCCGTGAGTATGTTGGGTGTGTAGGTTTGGCAGCCACAAACAGCACTTTGGTAAGTCGGTAAGAAACACAGCAGCAACAACCTGAGCTGTAACCTAATTAATATTTCGAGTGGAATTTTTGCAGAGCAAACTCATTGAAAATTTTAAGCTAATTGTTTGCTAAGTTATGTTTTTTGTTTCAAAGTGATGTGCATATGTGTTTATTATTCCTTCAGCTCATAGAACTAGAGAACTGTTGGCAGTATTCTTATGTTTGTAAATATCTCCACAACTGGTTCTGCGAGCAGTGAATGTTGATTTTTTTTTTTATTCGCCGGTATTCTCCCGGCCCGGGTCTTTTCCAAGTAGTGGTGACCCGGCCTTGGCTCCCTATCTGGGGAGTATCTCGAGACGTAAGTCTCCCATGGGAGGAGGTACAAGTACCCCCTCATCTTTGGGATCAACTGTCCCCAGGCCTAGCCACATTCCCCGCCCTCATGGGGCTCGTAGGGAGAAGCTAGGCCTCTGGTCTGCCATCTGCCCCGCCCCAAAGGGGCTCGTGGGGATGGCAGTCTTATGAGCTGTAGATGGCAGCATGCTCAGGCTTTGCCTACAAATGTTGATGTCACGCATATACAAAACTGAGCTTTAGGCTTCAAAATTTTATTAACATTATTGATTGAGGTTAAACTTTTAAAAATATATAATCGAAAGTTCGTGTGCATACTGTGTATTATTAATTATTATGTTGTTGGAAGCACTTAACTCGCACAGGTTATAAATTAGCATATGGAGAATGGGAGTCAGTCAGGGTCGATCCAAGGAAAGGAAGGATAGGTATACTCCTTTAAACCAAGAGCCTCTTGATCCAAGGGAAGGGGTATATTGCAGGGTGGTAGACAATGACTATCCAGGAAGGTACCGCATTCCTGTCATGTGAGCGTGAAACTGAAGCCTGATAAATGTTTTGCACTCTGGCAGGACAGCGGGTCTTCTCATGTTTCATCATCGCATCATGGGATGCTGAGTGAATCTTACAAACGTCTACTTACATTTAGTAAATTCTTTGCTTCTCTGTATGTTCCTCAATAGTTCTCATTCTTCTGTTTTTCCCCCGGAAGCTATGCGACCCTTACGAGTTTAGCACTTGCAATTAATATAATAATAAATTAATTATTCTTGTAATATTTCCGATTTAGGAAACTAGACTGTGAAATAAGATTCTTGGAGGTGTTAAGCAGAGGAAACATCAAGCTGCTTGACATTTATAGTTCTACTGTGTTATGTCAATGGTGTTTTAATGAGTCTTGTCTTTTTTCCAGGTGGAGTAGCATGGTGAAGGAGACAGGGTGTGTGGCCCCCCCGGCAAGATGACCCAGACGACATATTCCCACCCTCACCCGCGGGGTCGCCCTCCGCCCCTGCTATGCCCACACCCGAGTGTAGTGATCAGGAGATGTGTGAGATGGCAGCACGTGGTGGTGGCAGTGGTAGTCGCTGTAGCGGGCTCCTGCGGGCGTGTGGAGGGAAGTGTGGAGTCAGTGAGGTTCTCTGCAGAGCAGTACAACGCCAGCGTCCCGGAGAATGCTCTGGGCAACACAGCCGTCGTCAGTGACACTATGATGGGAGTCTACGTCACCGACCCAACACTCAAGATTAAGTATCGCATCACAGAAGGGGATAACCAGAATTTCTTCCGGGCGGGAAAGCGGGTCGTCGGCGACTTCTGCTTTCTTGAGTTGCGCGTACGCACTGGTAACCGCCACGTTCTAAACAGGGAGAGTCGCGACCAGTACCGTCTGAAGGTGAAGGCACAACACCGTCATCACGACGGCAGCAAAGAAGACCTCCCAGGAGCTGTAACTGAGGTAATCATTACCATTACTGACCTCAACGACCTTACACCATTCTTCCTGCAAGACGAGTACCACGTACGGCTCAGCGAGGACACACCTCTTCATGCCTCAGTAGCGCGCGTCAAAGCCGAAGACCCAGATAGTGGTCTCAATGGCCAGATATATTATAGTTTCTCTGACCGCACGCCAGTGTTCGCTATCCATCCTACCTCTGGTGTGGTCACTCTCACGCGACCACTCAGTTTCCTGGAGAAGGCAGCATACGAGTTGACGGTGCAGGCACAAGACCGGGGCCGCCGTCAGCATGGAGGGTGGCCATCTCACGCCAAACTCTATATTAATGTTACAGAAGAAAATGTTTATGATCCACAAATATTAGTTGTCAAGTTGCCTGAGTCAATGCCACGAGCCCATCTGGCTGTAGTTGCCATCATCAATGTAGCGGACCAGGACCGTGGCCCCAGTGGCGAGGTGAGGTCGTTAGAGATAGTGGAGGGCGATCCTGATCGCGTTTTTCGTGTCCTGCCAGGCTCTGGTGCTAATGAATTTAACCTGGCGGCCCTCGATACCATTGATTGGAGCGAGTCGCCATTTGGCTTCAACTTAACATTAAAAGCTACAGATGGAGGCAATCGACCACGGTTTAGCTACAAGGTGGTGCGAGTGGCAGCACCACCATTACCTCAGCAGGAGGCGGTATTTACACAAGAGGTGTATGAGGCTACCGTCAGCGAAATAGCGCCTGTGGGCACGCGGGTGGTGCAAGTAGGCTCTTGGCTTCCTGGAGCACAGCGCCGCATCGAGTTTTCTATAGTAGCAGGAAACAAAGGGGGACAGTTCCGTATAGACCCCTTCTCTGGCGTCATCACCACTGGAGCTACTCTGGATGCTGAGACCCGCACTGACTACACTCTCACCGTTGGAGCAACCAGCCCATCCGTCATCTTGCCGCTGCAGCAAACTTCTGCCAAGGTAATAGTGAGAGTGCTGGATGCCAACGACAACACGCCCATGATTGTGGCACCTCAGGGCGTAGTACGTGTGGACGAGCACCAGCCCGCCGGCACCTGGGTGACTAAGGTGCGGGCACAGGACTATGACTCCGGGGAGAATGGGTACGTTTCCTACAGCTTAGCAAATGCCGATGATGTGCCTTTCACGGTAGACCATTTCACGGGCGAGGTGAGCACCACCCGCGCTCTAGACTACGAGACAGAGCGACGTACGTGGAGACTGCTGGTGCGTGCATCAGACTGGGGCTCTCCCTACCGTCGTCAGAGTGAGAAGGTCATCACAGTGCACGTAGAAGACGTCAATGATAATAGACCACAGTTTGAGCGTATAGACTGCACCGGCTTCATAGACCGACTCACTCCTCTGGGATCGGAAGTTTTTACGCTTTCTGCTGTGGACTTCGATCAAGGAAACATTATCAGTTACAGGATTGTAGGTGGTAATGACGACCGTTGCTTTGGCCTAGATTCCACCACGGGTGTATTGACATTGGCATGCGACTTGCAGGATCTGATGGTCTCAGAACGTATACTCAACGTAACAGCAACAGACGGTCAACACTTCGCCGATACCTTGGCACTGCGTCTACAGTTAGTCAGACAGCAGAACCCATCAGCACACTCGTGGACGGTGCTGGACTGCAGGGAGATGGGTGTAGCTCAACGTCTAGCTGAGCAGCTTTCACGTGCTGAAAAAAGTAATCGCCAAGATGATCTCATTAGCTTGCTGACACCACCAATGACAGGGCTGAACGCACACGGGCCAGAACTGCTGCACGTGCCCCTGGAGGTCCGTGTACGAGAGAACAGCGACCCGGGCACCTTGGTGCTTAAGATTGAAGCTCAGGATGATGATAGCGGCTACCCAGGACATCTAGTTTATGTCATTTCATCTGGCAACGAAGAATCTGTGTTCATGATGGACTTAGAAACCGGGGCTCTGACGGTAGCAGGCCTGCTAGACCGGGAGAAAGTTGCTCGCTACAATCTCAACTTAACTGTATATGATCTAGGTAAACCGCAGCGCTCAGCCTCCCGCCTTGTTGTTGTCACTCTTGTCGACGAAAATGACAATGCTCCTAACTTTGATAAACCAGCTTATAGCTTCTTCTTGCCAGAGAACGTGGCCAACGGCACTAGTGTGTACGAGTTGCGGGCACAAGATCCCGATGAGGGCACCAATGGCGTGGTGACATACAGTTTGGCTACCGACACGAAAGACTTCAGACTGGACCCTGTGAATGGACGGCTGAGCGTGGCATGGCCCCTGGATCACGAGACTCATGACGTGTACGAGTTGCGTGTGGTGGCTACTGACGGCGGGGCACGATCTGCGCACGCCTACGTCACAATTCAAGTAGCCAATATCAACGACTGCCCTCCTGTCTTCCCCACTGAACGATCAACTGCTGTGCGTGTTCCCGAGGACCTTCCTGTGGGTGCACTAGTTACGCTTGTGACGGCCCACGATCCGGACTCTCCTCGCCTGCGCTACACTCTCATGGGTGGGCATGAGGGCATTTTCGAGCTAGACGCAGACACAGCGGCGCTGCGCCTCGCTGCTAAACTAGACTACGAGACCAGGCCCGCCTACAACATTACGGTTCGTGCCACTGATGATGGTACGCCTCCACTCTCTGCCAGCACCCACGTCATTGTGCAGGTACTGACCTCAGTTTTTTCGGATTCACTGCCAGAAGTAATTTTAAAATTGATATACGAGTACTACTAGGCTCATATAGTTAGAAAAATAAATTTAGGAAATAAATGTCACGCATTTAATAAGAGTGAAAAATGGTATGGTGATACCGATAAGATGTGGAAAAAGACACCTACATTTCAGGACATTAGAGAAAATGTTTCGCCACGCACGGCTTTTTCAGTCCTAAAACAGAATAACTAAGAAAGAGTATATATAGTGGCAGGAAGGTAGTAAGCTGCGAGAGGGTGGCAGTAATAGTAATAGCAGTAGTACAATTGTGGTGAGATGGATTGGGTTTGAGAAGACCCAGAAACATCATGTTACAGCGGTCTCTAGAATGAGTATCGTTATTATTAATATCAAAACTAAGCGCTAAACCCACCAGGGCCATAGAGCGGTCTTCAGACATGTAAGGTTTGTTATAATTAAAGCATGTGCTAAATACAAGAGTAGATTTTCAGTTAAACAGAGTGAATGACTCATCGACTACTACTAGGCACTTCTTGCAGAAAATCAGTCTTGTGTAGCTTCAAATTCCATTTGTAAATTTTATATATATATATATATATATATATATATATATATATATATATATATATATATATATTATATATATAAACCATAGTTCCTTGACAATAGGAGTAGTCACGAAAGCGCTTGGAATTCACTACTCTTTTACAGTGGTTTTTTGCATATATATATATATATATATATATATATATATATATATATATATATATATATATATATATATATATATATATATATATATATATATATATATATATTCAGGGAAAACCTTGAGTTTTCCCTGAAGCAAGTTTATTCTTTTCTCTGAGGATGAGGGTCCCAATGACAGTTCTAGAGGTGGTACCTCCCTATATTTTATATATATATATATATATATATATATATATATATATATATATATATATATATTATATATATATATATATGTGTATATATATATATATATATATATATATATATATATATATATATATATTATGTATATATATATATATATATATATATATATATATATATATATATATATGTAATGTCGTGCCTAATAGGTAAAACTGGTCAATTAGCAAGAACTCATTTAAAATTAAGTCCATTCTAAATTTTTCTCTTATACGTTTAAGATATATCTTTTCATTAATGTTAATGTAACAATTTATAATTTTGCACCAAAAGAATCTTAGAAAACTTACCTAACCTTATTATAACAAGCGCAATTTATTTTAGCCTAATCCAGCTAAATATATTTTAGATACGTTTTCAACAATTTAATACTAAACAAACACAGTGAAATATATTGTTTTCGTTGGTTTCAGAATGATTTTTGTTAAATTATTGCATACACAAATTTTCGCTTGTCTTATAGGGCAAGATGAGCGTTGCTGTTTAAGCCAAGATCGCAAGTTTTACATATTCGGCACGATATATATATATATATATATATATATATATATATATATATATATATATATATATATATATATATATATATATATATATATATAAGATCATAGTAAACAGGTGTTTTCAGAATATGCAAAACAACCACTGTGAAAGAATAGTGAAATTCCACGTGCTTTCGTGACTTTTCACATTATCAAGGAACTGTAAAAGTAATACTTCAAAGGAAGGCATATAAAGGGTCTGGACCACACCTCACAAACACATCCCACAACAAAGCAACACCTGACGCGCGACGACACCGGCCTCATAAGAGGAACACTGCAGCAAGCCCGCTGGCCCAACTAGACAGGTCCTTCGCGACCTCCTACTAGCAAAATATTATGTCTAGTTGGGCCAGTGGGCCTGCTGCAGTGTCCATGATCTAAGGTTGGTTAATGGAATTGAAAGCCTATCGTCTACACTCGGGTCATTAGGGGTACATGGTAACCTTTTCACCATCAGACGTGGAAAGACAATGAAAATTAAGGACGCCATTGGTACACTAAGAGAAAACATCATAAGTGTCCGGGGCCCAAGACTGTTCAACAGCTTCGCACCATGCATAAGGGGAATTACCAATAGGCCCCTGGCTGCCTTCAAACGGGAGCTGGACAGATACTTAAAGTCGGTGCCGGATCAGCCGGGCTGTGGTTCGTACGCTGGACTGTGTGCGGCCAACAGTAACAGCCTGGTTGATTAGGCCCTGATCCACCTGGAGGCCTGGTCGTGGACCGGGCCGCGGTGGCGTTGATCCCCGGAATACCCTCCAGGTAGACTTTAATCCATAAAACAGGGATTAAAGTACATTCGCAGCATATATACATTTAGAAACATACAACTCTTAGTGTATATATCCTGTGTGTCCGAAGGACTTAGTAATTTCTTGTTAATTATCTTTATTCACAACCAAACAACGTCCTCACAGTTCTGTATAAGCTATATATAGTCCACAACTTTTGCTAACAGTATTTTTTTCGCATTAGGGTTAATCCTACTAGTACCACTAGACTCGAGTAATGAAAGAATTTTCTTTAAGATTTGCATGACACAGTATTTTTGTGTGTGTGTTGAATATGCATTCAAATAATATAATTCCCACTTGTGATTTTATAAGTATGAAACTAAGTGAACTTATACTCGAAAATAAACTCCAGACTGCTACACGTGGATTAGACTAGATTTTTAGAGTTGTAGTGAAATCCTTTAGATTTATGGAGGATTGCAGGAAGTTTGAGGTCATGCCAGACGTAGCCTCTCCTATAAATATTGCAGTCAGTGTGTGATGGTATAAGTTCAGGCATAATATTATGTACGCTGTGATAAAGTATTTGAAATCAACTAGTGGTGCTGATGTGTCTTGTCCCCTGCCTCGCGTCTCTGTAGGTGGTGGATGTTGACGAAAATGTTCACGCGCCAGTCTTCATGAAGGACGTGGAGCAGGCCCAGGTGCTGGAGTCTGCTCCTCCACACACCCTGGTTGCTACCTTCAGCGCCGTCGACGGTGATCACAATCCTGCTGACGCCGCCATCACTTACTCCTTGGTGGGTTCTGAAGGACGAGGTGTCTTCTACATCGACCAGAAGGGTGAGTGTTCTCTGATTACGTTGATGTTTCTGGTGTTCTACTGGACATAGCTATGTACTTAGTTGTGTATTTTCTCACTGAGCTGTGACTCCTTCAGCATCTTTCACCATTATGGCCCAGTACTACACCATTAATTTTTCCATACGAGAAATATTTTGGGTTGATTTTATTTTCACTGATGGCTTTTTGCTTTGGCTTTTAATCAGGGAAAAAGTAGCAGAGGTAATAACTACGGACTCAACACAGATAGATAAGTCTATCTTCTGCAGGTACGAACATCCCTTTTCACCTCACGACTGAATTTACTAACTCCACGTAATCAGCATTTTATAATTCATGGATATCATATTCTTGGGAAAATAAAATACAGATATATGAGCGAATACAATTATTTTTTACACTAATGAAAGTATGGATAATATAGGATTACTGGTAAAGTCCCACTTAGGCAAGGTTACTGAGAGATGAATAATATAGCATGTATTGCGGGTTATTACAGTAATTTATTATAGTTGCAGAATTCGGAATACCGAACAATACTAGTGATTGGCCAAGTGATTGGTCCACCACAGTTTATATATAAGCCTCTTAGTGTTGACCCGGCACTCTGTTGGTCCTCTTGCGGCCAAGGCTCGGCCCATCACTGCTGAATTGCCTCGTCTTCTCATAATGAAGGAACAAGATTCTCTTGTTTCACCCTCATTACATTCCAATTCATGTGGGTGGGTAAGGTTGGAGCAACATCACACACTGCTGCCTATTTATGGTTTGACATTGGCAGTTAGCAAGAAGGAAATATAGGTTAATTTATGATAAATTAACGTAAAATGACTAATACATATACTTTCGATCACTGCTCAGATCGTAGAGAAATCGACGTAGCCTACCGCGTGCCTCTTTATCTGGAAGACATAATGCAGATCTACTTATTAATCCATTTACATGTATTTAGGTCGCTTCCACTACCTGTTTGTGTATGTAATTATCTTTCTGTTCGCTGCTTGTATGTAAAGGGGAAGAAATGAGATGAGATTTGTGTGTGTATTATTGCTGGGAGTGGTGTCAGGGTTATAGTTGCAGTGTCATGCGAGTGGTGATGCTCATTGTTGCTGGGAGTGGTGTCAGGGTTATAGTTGCAGTGTCATGCGAGTGGTGATGCTCATTGTTGCTGGGAGTGGTGTCAGGGTTATAGTTGCAGTGTCATGCGAGTGGTGATGCTCATTGTTACTGGGAGTGGTGTCAGGGTCATAGCTGTAGTGTCATGCGAGTGGTGATGCTCATTGTGTCATGTCAGTATAGAAAAACATCTGGTTTTATCCCAAGAAATCTTCCTAATAATTTATGGAAAATAACGATTTAAAAAACAAACTGATACCTTTGACCGGGCTGTTGTTGGCCACTAGTAACAACATCCTGAGCAACCAGGCTATTGTTGCTAGTGGCCATCAGGCCTAGTCAAATATTTGTGTTGTACATAGTACTGTGCATGAGGTCACGTTTAGGGAAGAGCAAGCTGGTTTGTTGTGGGATATGTCCTCTCGGAGTGGTCATGGCATTAACAGTGAAATATTGGTGAAAGAACATGGTTTATGTATTCTCTTATTCGCGCACTGGTGGTGAGGTCATTGTCCTTCCACCCCTCCTTCCCCACCACCTGTGGGGATTCTTCTGAAGGCACCATGATAGCCTAATATAGGAGGTAGGTGCAACGGAGTGGAGTCAGGTTCCCCACTGATATCTCTATCTGCCTTGAACGAACCTGTGGCCTTAGATGAGAGCACAAATGATTTCAATAGCACGATCATTGGTGTTATCTTGTTTCAAAAGGTTTTGTTATGTATCTTATCATTCTTTTGACCTCTCCTGTATTGGCAGTATATTTTTTTTACCTGTTTCTTATGTTCTATGAGATAATCTGCCGATCTTCAATTTTGTGCTCTTTTTGATTGGTTTATTCATCCCGTAACTAAGCAACTGAAATTTGTCTCCAGTGAACTTCCTTATTTTCATGTGCTCATTGGAAGACTTCACTGGTGTCTGATATTTTTTTCTGTATCTTTACTGTATCCTTTATCGTCCTCGAAAGATGATACGAAGCTGTGACTTAGTGTTTTTTAGTTATACATGATGTAAGGATGAAAAACAGTATTAGTGCTAGGACCGTGACTGGGGGTGTTGATCCGTTTACCTCGCTGAGGCTGGACTTTCGTCTTGTTTACTATCACTAAAGTGATGTTTCTTAGAAATTTTAATGTTATTTTTCCGGGTTATCACACCATGGTCACCGTGGAAATCACATCAACGTTTCGCTTTTCATCCACAGCATCGCAATAATCCACAGTGGTTCAGCGCTTTATAATATAATTAATAATAATGATAAAAGCCAGGAATCAGTAAAACAAGTCGATAAGAGTCGGGACCAGGATCTATGAGTTTAGCTCTTAGTTATGATTGTACGAATCGACCTCGACTCCCGGGCTCCGGGAGTAGAAAAACTCTCGAAACTCATTAAAGGTATATATACATATATATACATGTATATATATATATATATGTGTGTGTGTGTGTGTGTGTGTAAGGATGATGTGGATAATAATAATTCATGTTAAGTGCTAAACCCATGTGGGTCATTCAGCACAAGACATGGTGGAGGCTCGATCCTCAATCTGCTGAACGCGAGACAGATGCGCTTCCTATTTGTACTCACCTAGTTGATAGGATGATGTGGAGGGTGGTATTAACATGGTCACTGGTAGTTTTTTTTTTTTATTCACCGGTACTCTCCCGGCCCGGGTCTTTTCCAAGTAGTGGTGACCCGGTCTTGGCTCCCTATCTGGGGAGCATCTCGAGACCTAAGTCTCCCATGGGAGGAGGTACAAGTACCCCCTCAGCTTTGGGACTAACTGTCCCCGAGCTAAGTAGGTAACGGAAGGCGCCATAACTTTCTAACAAGACAATCACGCTATGGTGCCCAGACCAAATTTAATTTCCATGGACCATATTGTTCTTACAGTTGACTCCCGTGTCAGCTTTTGAGCTGTGTCTGATCAGCCAGGTTGTGTTGGTTTGTGGATCTCGAAAGAGTAGTTCTTTATGTATGATTGTTGTATCTTACTTCCTGTACCCATCGTAACGGGTCCAAGAGCTAGACAGCAACGTTTTTTGTCTAAGCAAATTACAAAAATTAAGTCATTTACAATAAGCAGATTTTGGATACTTGACCGGATTTGTTTTGTGGTAAGTCAGTATGTTGTTCAGTGATTTACTTGTGACTTCACCTGTGACATCTTTCAAGTGTTCTTCTATCTCCTCTGCCCGGCCTGAGGCCAGGCTTCTCTGTTGACTACCTGGTCAGTCAGGTTGCTTGTGTTAAGCCCACCTTGCCATCATAGCTCGGTTGATCCGAAACTTGTAGAAGAAAGCTGTCTCGCTACTTCGTTCTAGTTTCAGTCTTCGTTCTTGTATTATTATTATTATTATTATAATCAAGGCTGAGCGCTAAACCCACTAGAGTCATATTCGTTCGTGTAATATCATGCAGATAATATGTTGAGTCTTGGGCCACGGATATTGTCACAATATTCTCAAATTGTTCCTCCCATCCTTCATCCCCCGTTTCCCCATCCCGTCTTCAGTAGCTTAATTTCACATTTTCTCCCATTTCCCTCGCTACCATCATGTTAGTTATGGGTCCAGGCTCTTAATTATCTATCATTATATATTAACAAGTACCATATTCCATTACGTTGTAGACAGAACAACGCCCAATACCCTCGCTTCCTTCCCTACCCTGCAGCGCTGTAGAGCCCTTGTGGCTTAGCGCTTCTTTTTGATTATAATAATAATAATAATAATGTAGACAGAATAATCGAAGTATTTTCAGATATTCTCTTGTTTTACTGTAGATATTTACGGTAGATGTGGGCAGTATACGACCTTCGTATGTTTTCCTCTTCTATCTCTCCTGCCCTGAGAGGTGCTGTGAGCACAGCAATATTCAAGTCACTAGAGCACAATGATCTGAGAAGTACCATCCCTGGCGTTGCTAGTCTTTATTTTGAAAGTTCTCATAATCCACACTATCATTTTCCTTCTTTACTCTGTTTTCCAGATATCTGATCCTCTGACTTAATAATTTCATTCTTTTCTGTATTCTGTGTTAATTTTTGAGATCTTCATTCTTCCTGTTCCTTACCTGTTAAAATTATAAACACTGAACATGTTATTTTTATTTTTTTCCCTCTGAAGACTTTGTTGATGTATGTTTGTAGTTTTGTGTGTTTTCTACTGAGGTAACTTTCACACTTTGTCTACAAAGGACGATGCAAAGCTGTGGTTAGTGTCCTTCTTTATGTCAGTTATGATGGTGAGAAACAGTAATAGTGCTAGCACCATGCCTCAGTGTACTCAACTTTTTACTCTGTCGATTTATTAAAAAAATGAATATCCACTTCACATAGCTTCCTCTTATAACTGTTGACTTCATTTTATGAGATAATACTCCGTGGTTGCATCTGTTAAATACCTTTACAAATTCCGTACAGATTACATCAACATTATTTTTCTTCTAAGTCCTCCGTAATCTTTTTATTGTGTTTTAATAGTCGATATACCCGTGATATAATTTTGGTATACCTGTGAACGGTTTCAAAAAAATTTCTACCCTCGCAGTCTGGCCCAGGACCACATTTTCCCTGTTCATTGCCCGTTCATCTAAGTTGTTGCTTTAAGCGGTCATCATAGCCATTACACAATGGTTGATCTGGTTCTTGGCGTCATTGAGCTGCAGCCCAAGCAAGCTGGACTGGGCTGGGCTTGCCTGGCGGGCTGATAATTAAATGGTGGAGATGGAAGTAGCGGCGGGTCCAGCATGTTAAGTGAGGGCTGGGCTCGTCCAGGATAATACCGCTCGCTTGATGATTAACTTAGTCATTATGCTGGATTACCACGCTGTCACGGCCTGCTGAGCCGTTTTAACTACGGTTCATGGGGAGGGAGGG